AGTCAACATCCATCTTTTGATTGCACTTCAATGACATAAAAGTGGAATAATATAGTGATTAATTCTGAAACTCTTGAATTTGAATGATATTTCTTATGTAAATGAGACATTGGAGTTGATTTTCTTATCCTCTAATGATAACAGGACATCTTCTCTTTAGCCGCGGGTAAACACAACGATACATTGCCTTGTGGGAATTGGTGTCCATACAACACTCATTAATATCATAAGTGAGTTATACTGTAGTTATACTGAGGATGACTGATGCGTTTGAGAGAGGCTCATTTCTGTGTGATCTGTACTACAGATCTCTACACACATGACTGCAGTGTGTTGTAAGTCATTAGTTAGAATAACAGATGGAGGTAATGTACAGTGAGAGTATTATGGAGGCCTTCATTATTCACAAAAAGCAGATTAATGCCACTGTGTTGGTAGGCTTAATGAACAGTGGGTTGAAGCATTCAAATCCTTAAACAACGAGATTCTGCCCGAGGAGCTAGAATGAATAAGTCAAGGGGGAGGGTGAAAGATACCAAAATCCCATTTGCTAGATTGCTACATTTTTCTGAAACATATCATTGAAGGTATAGGGGTCTCCCCCAATGTCTAGGCTAGAGAGAATTTGAAAGCAATTACCAACCCACGACCAGAGATAAAGTGTTCCTAAAAATACTTTAAACCATTTAAACCAATAAAATTAACACAGGAGCAAGGATCTTTGTTTAAGGGTAAGAAACGACCGCAGTCATTGGCCAAATCTGTGGATCACATCAAAACTTAATCTTACTTGTGATGTCTTGGCTACAGTGGGAATCCAATCAGCCAAACAGAATAAGCTTGGTGTTTATTTATTTTTCTTGCAAGTTAGAGCAGCACACTTCCACAAGCAGCATCCCACAGAGTGAAAATGACACAGACTGAAAAAACATCTGCACATTGTTCATCATATCACACCAAATCCCCCATGCAATGTGTTGAAAGCAAAGCAGGCCCTGTTCCCTCCTGCTCATAATTGTCTTATTTCTGCCTCCAGTTTCCATAGTGAACAAATTTGATTTCATAAGACGAGAAATACCCGATGATTCGATGACTTTCTTTAATCGTGTTTATGTATTTTCTTTCCTTTTTCACTTTTTATTTGAGCACAAGGCAAAATGTTAACCACAAAAGAAAACAATATTTCAATTCTGGATCTACTCCAGTACATTGGACAACAATAGACACTGGTTAGACAGTTATGTCATCTCCATGAATGTTTTGTATATGTGAAGAAGTTGAAACATTAAACATTAAAATAATTAAAGAGACTTCTGTGAGCCAGCTTTTTTTGTTTTTTTGCAATTTTGTTTGTATGGATTTTTTTCTTTAATTTTTGCAATTATTGAAAATGTTAGACAAACAATCTGGAATATTAGACTACAAAAAAGTGTAGAGTATGTTACATGATGTTTTTTTATTTTCCTATTCCTATTTTACTGGCCATTCAGTTCTATATCAAAGTATTTAAGAAGGGCTGATATGTTACTACTTCAAAGATTCGTTGATAGTAAATGAGTGCAGACCTTTAAACTCCTGGCCTGGTATAGTGTTCAAGGAGACGAAGCTTCATGTTCATGGTTCGTTCTGTAACATATTTGCATGTTCATTATTTGGAGCGCTTTTTCATCTCCTCCATCACTTGCATCCCATCTTCTCTGCATCAAGGAAATGAAAATCATGGACATGTGTGCGCGTATTGATACTAGGTTGAATTCAGATTGTGAATCATTATGGAACACAGCGTTCATAAAAGTCAAAGCAGGTAAGGTTACAAAGTAAACATATGGTATACAGTATTATATATATATATAAGTATTCCGTATGGAAATAAAAATGCATTATATATACACAGTATACTGCAATAACAGAGCAGAACACATTAAATGAAATGTATGAATATTAGTTACCAGTCCAAGAGTACGATGAAAAGATCCATACGCTGAAAGCATCCAGACACACTTCCTGGAGGAGTCCAGCTGTGTGCGGCAATGGATGATGCCCCGAACCCAAACCCAACATCGTTTGCGGTTCCAACGTTTGTGTAATTCACCCAACAATTAAAGAAATAGTGGTTAATTTTTTCCATGTTGGATAGCGGAAACGATAACTGTCTTGCGGAAAAAAGCCGCAGAGATAAGCCTTTCACGCGAATGAAGCGAAATAACTACAACTAGTCGGGCGAGTAAACTCACGCGAGTAAAGCGTTGCGGATATTCGCTTTGCTTTTGGTGTAAAGGCAGCATAAAACCCAACTCCAGGAATGACCTCCACCTGGCAGACGAGCTGAATGAGTTCTTCCATAGATTTTAAAGACAATGGGAAAGTCCTGACTCCATCTCCCACAGCTCCATCAACCAGCCCCAGACCGTTCCAGCACTTCCCCCACAAAGCAACCGACCGGACTCTCTCCTGTTTCTGTGTCTCCCTCGACCCTGAAGAATTATCCTGATCAGCTATCTTTGGTGTTCACAGCCATATTCAACACCTCACTGAGACATGCCACATGCTAGCCTGCTTCAAGGCCTCCACCACCATCCTCTTCCCTTTGATTTGATGACTACAGGCCTGTGAACCCTGACAACCTCATGAAGTCTTGAACGGCTAATCCTTTCCCACCTAAAAACCCTTACCAACCTATTCCTGGAACCACTGCAGTTCACCTACAGAGCCCACAGGACTGTCTGATGCTGTCAACATGGCCCTCCAGCATTTCCACTCCCCAGGCACCTATACGCCAGGATCCTGTTTGTGGACTTTGTCAAGTGATCCAGCCTCTCAGCTCATAAGCGCCAATTCCATCCGAAGCTGCTTTCTTTCCCCTCTGCTCTTCTCCCTGTACACCAACAGCTGCACCTCCAGTCACCAGTCCGTCAAGCTCCTGAAGTTTCCTTTTGACACCACCCTCATTGGACTCATCTCTGGTGGCAATAAGTCTGCCTACAGGTGGGAATCTGACCATCTGGTGACCTGGTGCAGCAAAAACCACTTAAGAGCTCAATGCCTAGCTAGACAGATTGTAGTCATGTAGAGATGTTTCCTCTCCTCATTAGTTACTGCCATCTTATGGTTAACAGCCAATCCTCTATTTGGGTAAAATATAAATAGTTAGGATAAATAGTTGTCTGGGCGTTTCAAGGTATAAGTGTTTTGTTCTTTGTTTTTCCAGAGGCATGGAGTAATCAGCTCTACAACAGAGAGTCAACTATGGAAGCTGTGAATTGGATGTAAAGACAGCGTTCTGCAAAATGGTCAAGCTGTTTGACATTGCTTCACATATTGCTTAACGAGAAACTAGAAAGGAATGCAAAATCAAATAGAATCAGTGATTTGTTTCCTGTTTGTTTTGGTTCAAAAAATCTAACACTTTGAATCCGTAGACTACTGCCTAATAGTCTTATTGCTGCCATTTGATGACAAATGCGCATACACCCAATTGAGTATATTTATTATTTTTAACAAAGGTTAAATGTTATTTGACAAGTTTCCAAAAATGTCTCCAATTTCTTATATGCCCCTGGTTTTCAGTCAGTGGGGGTAAAACTTGCCCCTAAATAATATGTAAATTACCTAACCTGTATCCAATGTCCAATGTCAGTACCAACCATCATGACAAATTCCTTGTATGTCTAGCATACTTGGCAAATAAATGGTTCTGGTTCTGATTGAATCTTCACCATTTTTAAATATTCAAAATGTTTAGGATATTCTTCTGGTTCTGCTATTAAACGAAATACACATTCAGACTATAATTTGTTGTTTTTGTCTTCAGTCGTCTTTCTTCATTGAGCAGCAATGATGAGTTGGCCAGTGGTCACATTGAATTAGGGGCTTTGTCTCATCAGCCCTCCTCACTACCTAAGTCCTGTATTGCTCACTAGACCTGAGTCACACACACACTCAGCGCTGTATATGTGTGCATGTCAGAAGCCTTAGGCCAATCAGCCTCCTCTGAATAAAAAAAACAGTTTCCAAGGTTTTCCTAATGGGAATCCATTCACCCATCACTGCTCAATAGAACAGGTACTATAACACACACACACATACATATAAGGTCTTGTCACATTCATTTGGGGTTTGGGCCATGGGTTACCCTGAGGGTAGGCCTAGGAAAGGGGTCTACTGCTTCCTGCATGGGGATATCCCTGGAACCTCAAGGTACACACACACACACACACACACACACACACATGCCCCATTAGTCAGTTTCCTAGGGGAATCATCCCCCTCATCTCACTGAGTTGAGTCACAGTCCCTTTATAGTAAACCCACTGTTCTGCCCTCAGGACTGGGGAATTGGTGCCCCCTCCTGGGCCCTATAGATTTTGTTGTTAATTTGCCTATATTTTGACATGCACTTTGACTTGGAACCGGAAGTCCGCCGCATGTGGTAGTTTTAGATAGATGGTCTTAGGAAAGTCATCCGCTGCCATCCTTCATATGGTAAAAAATGATATGTCCGCCCGTTGCCGGGGCGGCAGGGTGGCCATTCTCTGACCAATGGTGGCCGTGGCCCCCCCTGGCCACCACGTGGCCACGCCCCTGCCGGCGTGGAGGGAGGCAGAACGCGATCTCGCAGATCACCACTGCGTCCGCCTTCCCTACACTAACAAGAAAGATGACCACCACGTTGTTCATGCACGCTGCGGACTTCAAGCTGCAGTGACCCACCAGCTCCCCCAGGCTGCTGTCCTCCACCGAGGACGAGGAACTTAGCGCGATCCTGATATAGAGAGAGGAGGATAAACTATTCAAAACTATAACACACCCATACCTTCTACAGTCTATCCCCCTCTCCTGCTTTTCCCCTCTTGAGTTTTTTCCAACCTTGATATGAAAATAATCGCTTTACTAACTTTGGTTTGCTAGAAGAATAAAAGCTGTTTCTGTCCTTCAAAATTCCATAAAATATCCTTCCATTGTGACTTTTCCTAATTTTAAACACATTTCTAAATCAATAATGGTAGGAAAACATTTTTATTTCATTGATATAGCTAATCTGAAAAAATGATTAACATTGAATATGAACATTTTTCCCAATTCTTCTACCTCATGCATTTATTTTTGTTCTGCATCTTAGTGTTTGGTACTGGTGCTTTTTAAAAGAAAATGTAATCAGAGTTATAAAGCACTTTAGCACCCCCATGTGTCTGCCGACAGAACTGCATCTCAGTATGGTAAACATTAAGGTACGATCCTGGAATGACTGAATTCAATAAAAACACGATGCAAATAAACATACAAATACAGGTACAGTATATTTCATTCGGCAGGAGTGTGGGGTTTGTTTGAAGGTAACTCAAGAATGGAAGATTTTTGTTGGAATCATCTCATCACTGATAAAATATGAAAATATACTAGTTTTTAATTCATTACTGAATTTTAAGCATGGTATGATTAATCAGCGTTAATCACCCAGAAGAAGCCATCTGTTGCATCATATTGTTGTCCCTCCACAAGCCTTCTGGGGTGTACAGATTTACAAAATGTGTTCAGTTTTGAATGAAATTCACGTACGATATTTTAATAATTGTTGGAGTTGTGTTTGGAGAATGTTCAAACTGATTTTTTTTAAAGCAAGGAAATGTTCATGATTAGTATTTTTGCTAAGGAGTAAACTAACCAGCTACACCACTCAATGAACTAATCTATGTAAATAACAAACTCTGTGTTAGTCAGTGGTTAGTTAGACTTTACTTAGACCTTTCTATACAAACTCATGTTCTAATAAAATCCCATGTGTCCACCCAATATTTGTACAATGTGCAGGGACTTGTTCAGATGCCTAGTTGTTGAGAAGAAATTGGTGATCAAATACTATTGCCTAAACAATCACAACAGTTACAAACATAATGCCATGGAGATTTGAACATGAAGTTGTTCTTTATTAAAAGACATTATGTTTACTCACTCCCATTCTTCAGATACATCCAAGACTTTATCTTTGTATTAAATGAGTTATAGAGGGTACAATACCAGTTTTCCTCTGTGATAGAGGTAGAGATCATCTCATTATATGCAATACAGGTTTATACATTAGAGGGAGTCAAGGAGCTGATGATCTGAACAGTCACTACTCAGCGGGAACGACAACTAGGATGATCTGCAAAGTTCTGTTGAAAGAATCTGGGGACACAAAGAAAACCAGACTATTACGTCATTTTTCTAAAAGGGTCTATTTGTTATTCATGTCTCACTGTAATTGTTTGTACATTCAAAGACACAGTAATTTACATGAAAAGAACATTAATTACCTGTAGGCTCAAAGTAGTCTGTCCTTAAAGTAGGATTCAAACAAGTAACTCTGTAGTTAAGTGGATCTCATTAAAAACCACGACAAATAGCAGCCTCACTGTGGCATTAAACCTGACTGTAAGTAAAATCAAAAATTGTGGCACTACTATTCTGAGGTCCTCCAAATGGGAAGTTACGTAAATAGGGAAGGTAAGAAGTTATATTTTACATTATTAATCAGTCACTCTTTTAATTACATGCAATATGATGAATGTAGTGACTGGAATTATCATCTTTTAGCATTCCAAAGCATTTTCAGCAGGAAAGGCATTATCTAGTTGATTTATTTGACTGTTCGTTTATAAAGCACTAATTGGTTTACGGCTAAATTATGAGCTATGTGGACCTCTCAGAACGCGGTCCCCAGGAGTCTAGCTCAACATGGAGAACCTGCGTTTGTAAATTCTCATCCCAACTCATCACATACTAACTCTTTCGCAGCCGTGTCTGCCCAATTCTACCAGACAACTGCCCGTGGGTTATGGCATCCTGGTCGAAGCTATTGAGACAAGGTGACAAATGGTGGATTTTTCTCAAGGTAGAGAATTGCATGGAGACATCCTTCCATGGTATACCACACCCAGTTGGACAGGAGGAGGCTTCTACCTCAATCACAGGGAAGGTCTGGGTTTGGAGTTTCACCGCACAACCACATCATACTGAAATTTTAAATCGTAGCATTCAGCAAATTAATTATGTAACTCTCTGAAATTCAACAATGGACAAATAATAGTAACTTTTATTACAGCTCCTAAGATAGGGCTCTGTTAAGAGATCCTCCAGCCATATATTGCCAGGCATATTGCTAGCGTTTCCTTACCCTCACCGCCCGGTCTTTGGTCTAGCTCCGGTCTCGCTCATTCACAATTTAACAAAGGAAGAAAGGTATGTGAGGTATGTAAATATGGATTCTGTCAATCGTACGTTTTACAAGAATCTACTGTTTTAATTCTAGGAAGGTAATTCACCTCCAAAAAAATCCATTATCCAAATCCAAAAATCCATTATCTGTAACCGCTTACCTTTTTACACTTTTTACCTTTTTGACCATTGACCATGACCATTCCTCCGAAAACAAATCTATTTATGCTGTTCATTTGCTGGTGAACGCTGAGATGTTCCGTTGTATGAGCTTACCTAAAGTCTTTTGAAGCCACTTTGGTCTGTGGTTGAAGTAAATGAAGATATAGTAGGCAGGGATGCCAGTGAGAGAAATGGCAAATCCAATTCCGGCGTTGACTGGATCCGAGTACAGAGACAGAAAGACCATGAAGAAACATGTGAGGCAGAAGACCACAGGGATGAAGAGAGGGACCTACGGCAGAAGTAACGGCTGTTATTACTATCTTCATACTTTTTGCATCAGATAAGTGTGCAAGTATCTCATTCACATACTTTTAAACATCACTTCAGATTGTCTTTGCCAAATGAAACACCTACAAGAGCAAGATGAGTAACTGGGACTCACAACTGGTAACACAACGGAAGAGTGGCCCTAAATGAATTGTTCATTGGTGATTCAGAGAGGACCAAGTACAGTTACAGATGTGGGCAGGCGTGAGCAAACTAACCTTAAAGGGACGGGGGAGGTCAGGGTTTTGTATATCGCATGTAGATTAAGCCCAACACCACCACCCCAATGAACAGCCACCGCAGGAAGCTCCTAAAGTTCAACAGGCTGTAGATGTCTCCCACAAACACCTGGGCGTATGGTCATAGGGTACTACACACAGCACACACACACACACACACAGACACACACACACACACACACACACACACAGTTAACAGATTAGTATCAACTGTGGGAAAAATGGCTTAAGGAGACACATTTTCAATTGGTAGGCAGGCATGTTCATTTGACCGTCCCATCAAGACAGTGGTTTAACCATATGTCAGCATGCAAGGAACATGTAGGTAACCATAGCAACAATATTATGCTTCATGATAGGTTACCACCAACAATATTTCAAAATTGGTATTGATAGATTGAGTGGCAATTGATATTTCAAATGGGGGTCTGAGTAATATTTAGTGATGCCCCTTTTTCTGATGAAAAGTTTTTGTCGTTATTGTTTATATTGCATCAAACTGACCAGTATAAGTACAGCAGCCAGTGGAGTGTGCCTGCGGACATGGATCATAGACAAAACCTCAGGGAGTTGTCCTTCACGAGATGCTACATAAAACATTCTGGAAAACACCAAAACACACATTACATATTCATATTCATATGACATTGCAGAGACATTGATCATTGACTGGCAGATGAACTAAATACACACCTTTCACCCACTTTAACTGATCTCTTATCAATAATCTTGACCCGACTCACCCCCACCCACTGACCCTCACCCCCACCGTTATGAGCAGCAGAACAGCAAAGCACAGGGCCCAGGCGGTTCATCACCTTACTGTCTGAAAGACAGTCAGACTGTCGCGGTCCTCTAGCCTTGTGTGCGTCTATGCTCGGTCATGTGGATAATTACAATTACAAATTGCACTCATCAGCAAAAGTTCTTGCTTTTGAAACATTAGCTAATATGAAGCATTAGCTAACATATCCTGCAAACAGATAATTAGGTTCCAGCTAAAAATGACAGAGGTTTGAAAAAATACCATGTTCCGTTGCTGAAGTTAGATGATACTGTACATACTTTAGGGCTGCAACTAACGATTATTTTGATTATCGATTAACCGTTCGACTATTTCTTCAATTAATCGAAGAATCGGATGAAAAGAACAGCATTAAAAGCTTTAATTTCCAACCCTTTATTCTAAAACAGAACTGAAAATTCACATTGCAAAAATACTTCAGAAAGTACAGGTTGCTCCATGAACATAATCATTTATAAAAAAATGAAGAAAAATACAAATCAGAAAATGTAACAGGATTAGCTATAACGTCAGAACTTGTTAAGTAGATGTATACACCCCATCTAAGTACAGCTAAAAAACAACCAAAAACAAGTGCTATGAGATGAATTTAAAATGGCATTTGTAAATAAATGCATTAGAAGCTTCTTAGTCAGCCGCGCTGGTTTAATGGATCACAGTGTCTCCCTATAACCCACTACCCTATAACCCACAGTATGTGCGCAAGTGCACTAGACTACCGTGAATGACACATGCATTAAACACACACAAATATAACAGATATGGGACAAAGCACGAAATACAAGACAACAGATTGAAAAATGAATAGTCTTAGTCTAGAGAGTCTTAGTCCTGCTAACTGCTTTACTGTTGTTATTAGCGAGTTAACGCTAGCTTGATCAGCTGGATGACGAATAAACAGCAGCAGCGAAGCTGCTGGAGGCTCGTTACGTTCCTCACGTCAAAATGGGACAACGTGGTGCTTCCGTGCCAGGTTATGTCGACTTTGCATTTTTTCATTGACACACTTTCAGGGCTCTCACGTGTCACGCATCGAGCGTGACAGTCAGTCATGTCGGTCTTTAGTAACACATCATGTGACTCACAACAACTCTCGTCGCTGCTGGCTCCTCTTTCCTCTACATCGGCTCTGCGCGCATCTGCGCAACTCATTCGTTGCCAACGTTTTTAATAATCAAATTTAATTGATTTCATCGATTCGTTGTTGCAGCCCTAACATACTTTAACATTGACTCCTCATTTTAAAATAGATACGTGTTTCATAAAGGGTTTGTTTTTTTGTAAAATGCTTCTCTGTTTGTCTTCCAATTTGCTTATTTTGGATCTTCAATCTGATATTTCATATTCACTGCCTTTACAGTGTTCATTTTCATTGACTATTGGAAGTAGTGCTGTCTGTGGAACTGTTTTTAATTTTTTAACATGGAGTGCAGATAATTTGACCTGTTCTGGGATTTTTAACCACTGTTTATTGGTGACGCATTTAGTGGTTATTCGAAAATCAGCTTTTATTTTGGAATTATGGACCAGTGATTTTTTTTAGTATTTCTACAGGAGAAAGAATCATCACTGAATATTTATCTAAAATACATATGCCATGTGTAGCGTGTAGGCCAGCAAAGTGGAAATATATTTACCTGGATAAGGCAAAGTGGCCACCATTCATGGACCCATAGCAGGACAAGGCCACAAAAAAAGGCACTGCTATCGAGAAGTTCCCCATCAGCTTCTCTGCAAAGGTCTGAAAGGTAGATACAGAGAGGGATCAAAGAGAGAAATAATAATGGTTGGTTTAGGGATGTTATCGATATAATGTCAGCTAATTTTAGCCAGGAGAGGTGGGTAAAATCAAATATCATTAATGTTGGAGTGAATAAATTACCTTTTTAAAAGATTTTGAAATTGTAATTTTTGGAAAAGATAACACATTTATTATTAATTTACCACCACATAAATTACATTTAAACGTATTACACCAGCTTCTTTCAGTGTGTCTTCTCGCAGATTGTACCCCCCGGTACAATCCTTGTCCTTAATACAGTACGGTCAACAACATCAACTTCCCCCATCAGAGGAACTGACCATTTAACATTTCTTTAGAGATGATGAGGCATTATCAAGCAGTTGTAGCACAAAGAAAGCGTCAAGTACCTGTCTCATTAAAACCTCCCGGTTATCTGGCTGTTTCCCCAACTCTCTGAAGGAGGCAAGAGTTAACCCACTCCTGAAGAAACCCACTACAGACCAGTCTCTCTTCTTCTCTTTACGTCCAAAACTCTTGGAACGTACATCTCCACCGTAACAACGTCCTTGACCCTCACCAGCCAGGCTTTAAGGCAGGCCGTTCCACTAAGACTGCTCTCCTTGCTGTCTCAGAGAAACTCCACACTGCTAGAGCCGCCTCTCTCTCCTCGTCCTCGTCCTTCTGGACCTTTCTGCTGCATTGACCACTGTAAACCACCAGATCCTTATTTCGACCCTTCAGGAACTCGGTTTCTCAGGCTCTGCTCTCTCCCTTCTCACATCCTACCGGGTAACTTGGTGAGGATCCGTGTTGGAACCTTGTAATTTTCCTCAAGGTTCCGTTCTGGGTCTACCGCTCCTCTCTCTCTACGCTATGTCATTGGCTGGCTTCTCCTACCACAGCTATGCCGATGACATGTCTGACTGACATCAGAGAGACCGCAGAGAGCCTTTACATCTTCTACTGCAAACTAAAGACACACCTCTTCAGACTCTACCTTAACTAAAAAACACTAAACAAATTTTAGCACTTCAATTGTACTTATTAGCTATAGCAAGTTATAAATCTGGTTATTTGATCAAAAAACACTGTTTCTTGTTCTTCTGGGTTTGTATTACTGGTTGCAATGGTTGAAATGCACTTGTTGTAAGTCGCTTCGGATAAAAGCGTCAGCTAAATGACATGTAATGTGAAATAATCAAGTTTTGTCAGCTGCCATTCTCCCCTAGGATGTTTGTAAGTCCCAATGTAAATACACTGCACACTGCATTCAGCCACAACCCCGAATTCGGTATCTGTGTGCATACTGTCAATCAACCTCCCACTAACAGACTAACTGAACAACAGATACAAACAAAACACAACAAAAGTTTCCTGAGCTGTCAGACCTGACATTAACATCCATTTGGGTGATCAAAAGTAGAAAGCCTTTATTAGGTCACACTTACCAGCTGCTCCAACAACAAAAACAGGCTTTCAAAAATACACATGTGCAGATTTTTCGACACTTGCTATTTCTATTACTTACCACAGCAACTGCTTCTGAGTCAAGGAGCTCCTCTGCTGTCATCACAGTGTAGTATGCCACATTAGTCAGCACATAGCAGGAGGTCACAATCGCCATGGAGATACAGATGGCAAGTGGCATAGTCCTGATGGCATGAGGTATAATAACACAAGCAGTGCAGTAATTGCTATAATTTATTTGCTATAATTTAATTAACTATGAGCAACTTTTTTAGCGAGCCGATGTTTGTAAAAAAACATTGATCATTGCTTTAAGAATTTCCCCCAGAAACATGGTGCATTGTAACATTACAGCAAATACAGCTGGATTTAAATCCTGATGTAAACCATTTTTTGCATTGTATTTTATATTCAGCAAATATAGATCAACTATGCTGATAGAGCTAATACATATATTAAACTTACCGCTCAGGGTTATCTACCTCCTCTGTCACAAAGTTCAAATAGAACCTGCGAAAGAAAACAGTTATTGCCTCGAAAGGATAACAAATGATAACTCATATGCAATATATACTGTACTGAAGTGAAGCTGACAAAATGATAAGCAATAATCTGAGCACTAGAAGATATAGTGCAGGGATTTTCAATTGATGTTCAACAAGATCCTGTTAGAGAAGATTTTCTCGGACAAAGATCCAGAACATGATTGTGAACATGATGTTGTGATGATCATGACCATGCTGTGAATGGATCGGGTCCAGTCTACATCCAGGACATGGTCAAACCCTACATCCCAACCCGCGCACTCCGCTCTGCATCTGATAAACTGCTCGTCCCTCCCTCACTGAGAGCAAAACACTCGACTAGATCACGACTCTTTGCTGTCCTTGCTCCGGTGGAACGAGCTCTCTCTATACAAATTGTAGCACTTAAATTGTACTTACACTTATCTATAGCAAATTGTAAATTGTCTTATTTGATAAAATTGCACTTTTTTGTATCCCTATGGTTGAATGCACTTATTGTAAGTAGCTTTGGATAAAAGCGCCAGCTAAATGACATGTAATGTAATGATTTGGTGCCAAATGTGTATTTTAAAGGTTTAACAGTTACTCCTAGTCCTAGTGTGAGCACTTTGGAAGGTAACCGCATGCAAGCGGATACTGCGTGGTGTTGGTTCTGGTGAATGGTAATGATAAGAGTTTGGTTGGCTATTCATTGTTTATGCATTTCTTGGCCATCACTGACTGAGGAGTGGAGGCTCCAGAAGGTCAGAAAATATCAGTTGTGTATTGACCGCTCCGAGCCAGTGGGATTTACCCGTACGTCGTCATTACCCCACAAGAGAACAACTACCCCCTGACGGATTGAACTTGTAGTGTAGAGACTAAAGCATAGTTTATGCTTCTGCGTTTTCAGAGCGACTCAGACGCAAGACCCCCTTGCGTGTTCCTTGCGAGCCTTTTCACACCTCCTTGCGTGCGTTGACCCATTTTTCTAGCACAAGGCTGCGATTGGTCTGCTAACTACATCCCCCTTGTTTAGTAAAATGTTATTTTTTTGATTTGTTAAAGGTAATTTTGTAACATTGTTAAAGTAGGAAGGACTAATTATTAAAGAATAATCAATACAGTGAATATTACTTTTACTTGGGGAATTAGAAGTAAGGAATGTTGTGTATTTATTAATAAAGTTTGTTCCCACGGGGCATCCGTGCCGTAAACTGTTAACCTGCACTGAATGCTGGGTATTCTTTGTCCGATGTAATGTTCATTAAAAGCACGCCATTATCTTCCACAAGGTCTCATGTCCAATCTTTACTCTACTTGTATTAGTACTAGTGTGCAAAAAAATTATCTCGTAAGGAGAGTCTTACTGTTGTATCGTAGTTGCTGGGTTTCAGACAGATTGTAAATTTAGATGGCTTGGATTACATGATGTGATTATTTGTGAATTAATGTCTCAATGTTGTCAAAGTCAAACAGTTTTATAAGAAAACTTTACAAGGGATTGTGAGTCGTGTGTGTCTGTGTTTGTGTGTGAGGACCATACCTACCACCCAGCGTATGCGTACATCCCAGAGTAGAAGGCTAGCGGCATAGCAGACAGCTTCATGTTGCTAAGGTCGAAGGCATTCTCAAAGTTCCTGGTCTCTCCTACGAACAAGAACATGCGAGAGGTGATAAGTAATAACTATAATGACAGCAACTCTAAAAAATAAAATGAAGACTAAGGAAGTGATACTCATTTGCCTCATTTGCTAGGAGAAGTGGATTCATCTCTAGAAAAAGATACTTCATTTAATTTAATTTACTCAATGTTCTGTTTTATACATAAACACGTATGGCTGAAAATTGCTCTTACGAACATATAGAAGTCTGAATATCTCAATCCAAATGTTGAGTCTTTTGTAATGATCACTCGGGAAGGGGATTAAACTCGCCCCCAACTTTGGGGATGTTTTGCACATGTATTTAAAACCATAACATGTAAAATTATTACAGAAATAACATTATTGTCAGACTTAGTTTTTTTGTCAAACAAATTTATTAGATTGGGTTAAAAACAAAGTAGGCTCTTCCCAAAATAAAAATAAAATCAGTATAGTTTTGTATAACACATACTTAAAAGTATGAGTTATATATAGTTCATACAGTTCAAGCTATATTAGATATTGAAGATATACATTTTATTTATCTGTTGGTTAAAAATGATCCAGCTATGCTATGTCAAGGACACATGTTCTCAACAGGGACCTGATGGACATGGAATCGTCAACGGGCATTTAATCAAAGTAAACATCAATACACCCCACAGACCTGGTGGTCTGTGCTGGGGATTTTCTTTATTTAACAGATTGGAAATGAACATTTCCATTCACTATTCACCTTTCTATGTCTAGAAGTACCTCATACACACACATAAGCAGATGTAAAAGTGAAGTGTCCATGCGATGGGATGTAGGGCCTCTTCTAACACCAGCAGTGAGGACAAATGCCTAAGCTGTTGCTTGCTGGGAGCAGCTGTGTATCACGGACTGAAAGGCTTCAAGGTTATATTTGTAGTACGTCTTGTCTTGACACGTTCATTTTTACAGCTGAAAATTCTGTTATGTCTGAGAAGGTTTGTCAACATTAAAAACAATTCAAAAAATAAATGAACCACTAATGTCTTAGGAGTGTATGGGCTCTAGAATAGTGCTAATAGACGCTATTAGAGGTGAGGATGATGGTGGTGAAGCGCACGGTTTCTTACCCTTAAAGAGCTGGTACATTCCAGGCACTATGATGATGCTGATGGCCAGCAGCTTACTGAAGGTGAGGATGATTTGTATCCTCGCTGTCCATGTCACACTCATACTGTTCAGGTACATAACAGAAGCTACAGGGGCAGACAAAGTCAAGTTCTGAGAAAGGACCTAATATCATTTGAAATGAAAGGAAACAAAAAGTATCCATGCATTAAAATAGAGTGGCCAAAACCTTGAAGATGTGTCATTTGTAATACCTGCATTAAGATGTTGTGCATAATTAATGGGTTTCTGTATCTTTTTTGCAACTATTTTGTTGTGTTGTTTTTGTGTGAGAATACTCATTGAATTTCCTATCTTCCACCCGGCCTAACAATGGGATAACTGATAACTGATTATTACACATCAGAACACTCTCAGCGGTTCGTGTGTTTTGTTCAGATAGACAAAGTAGTTAGAGTTATTACACGTATTATGGTATGCCATTTTTGGAGCAGAAGCCAAAAAAACGAGTTTTTAAAAAATGCTGAAAACAGAAAAATGGCCTAGAAACGGCCTGATATTTGAACTAAGAATATTTTTGCGTTAAGGACTTTCAATTATGATTGACATAATGTTTTAGTGGAGTATTTTTCAAGTTTTAGCATTGCTGCTTTAATTACACAGGACTGCAGTATCTCTTCCACCACTGTGTTCCTCCTATTTTAGAGACAAGCACATTTCCTGTCGTTCACAGATAGGATTTAAGATCATAAAAATCATCCTGAATGACGTATTAATAATATTCATACTTATGCCGATGGCCGCTGCCAGTTTGACAGCCATAGGGGGGATATCACAGGGCATGAGCAGAGGCTCCAGGATATACTGACCAAAGGCCAAAGAGATGACTGCCATCGCTGCAGGTCTGGAAAACACATGCAAGTGATGGGCGAAGAACATTAGTCAATACTCAGCTTTAAGGAGGGTCTAAGACCATTGTTTGAGTAATACAACCCCCAACTTCAGTGAGAAAGGTCTGATAAATCCACAAACCCCCACAACAAGTTAGGGACTCACTAGTGAACATAATGGAGCATTTAACATTAAAGAACTAGGATTGTTGTTTTCTTTGCCAGGAGTTCGTGGATACAAAAAAAAGAGCAAAAAGAGAGATATTGGGAGATATTGAGAGAGATATTGGGACAATATTGGGAGTTGGATTTAGTAGATGGACACAAAATGACTCTTAATGTATTTATTGTTTACTTATTTAAACAAATAAAACAATAATCCATAAGCAAAACATAGTAAACATAAAGTAAAAGCTAGTAAAAACATAAAAAGGGTTTATATTATTCCTACATATTTTCTTAAAGTTCACAAGTTTATAAATAGCCTAAAAAGCCTGCTGGGGTTTCAAAAACACTTAGACTTGCATGGCTGACTAATCACACACAGACTAACTCTATCAACAATCACAATACGTGTTGACGTTCATCTTTTCCTCTGTCATCATTGCTAACCACATGGTATGTGTGTGAGCGTCTGTTTGTATGTAATATCCAATGGGCAGCTATAGACTTTGCTTCACTAAGAATCAAATAAGGTTGGCTTGCTTCACAGGCTGGTCTTATGGCTCATCAGTGTTTCCCTCATTTCCCACAGCAGCCACTGAGCTGCTAAAGCCATGGAAATCTCTCTTTGTCTCCCTCATTCTTGTTTTCATTTTCTGCTTCTGTCTCTGTTCATTTCGCATGGCTTTCATTGAGTCCCACTAGCCCTAGGCCAGCATAAAATCGGAAAGCTCAGGATAGCCAGTGGACTGTTTATACTATTCAGCTTGGCTGTGTACATTGACAGGTTCACAGGGAGCCGTTTCTCAGTTCGAACTAGAGTCTGCCCATCACCATACACTATCACAGCTTCTACATGTCTGGTGTGGTGAGCTCTGTCACTCAACAAAGTATAATACACAATTTGAAACACAGCTTTAGTGCTATAGAAACACAATGTTGCCTCATTAATTGCATTGTGTGTAAATAGCTCGGATTGGACTGAACAGGTTATAGCTTTCACTGTCATTGAGAACAGAAACCGTAGTCAACTCTGCTTTGGTGTCAAGAGAGCAATTTTGCTGCAGAGTTTAAGAAAATATTTTGAAACATATCTACTAAATTATTGCCATTATAATGCAAAAAAACTATTGTTCCACTGTTAATGTCAAATGTATTTAGCTGTGTCAAGCCTACAGGCAGCGAGTGACCAGCTTCGTCGCTGAGACGCCAGTCAGCAGCAGCCCAGGAGTGGGCTATGGCGGCGTTGACAGCTCAGGTGCAACTACTTACCGCAGCCCTGACCCAGCAGGTTGTCTGAGCAGCTCCAGCACAGCACCGGAGGGCTGAAATCTGTTTATCACCAACTGCTCCATCTTGTTGCAGCCCTACACCTTTGCCTCAGAAGAGGCTGATAACACCATAAACCACCTGACAGGCAGGGCACGACTGTGGGGCACTGCTGAATGGGAGAGACGCACGCCAGCCTGCTCTTCGTTCCTGTTGTTTTCTGCGGAACTACGTAAAAGGTGTTCGGGGCGGTCGCCAGGGGCCCGCATCCCACCAGGGGCCAGACTGCCCACTTTATATCCCGGTGCCCAGCCAAACACCGCGCTCGCCAGTAGTAGGGGAGGTACTGGTGAGCCGAACCACAAGACACTTTCCCAACCAAAGACCCCTTTGCCACGTTCAGCTGCTGCTCGCGAATGGATCCCAGACCCTCTCTACGTTAATTGACTCTGACAAGCCAGATGGTCTCTGTTTTTTAGTTTCGGTTGGCTCAATCACCTGGGAGTTAGAGGAGAGAGTGAAGACCGCCCTGGAGGTCCAGCCTGGTCCCAGCTCCTGACCGCCTGTTCGACCCTCAGAACCTTAGGTCCGATGTCCTCTAGTGGGCCCATAGCTCCAAACTCACTTGCCACCCTGGGAGCCAGCGTACAAAAGACGCCTTACTGCAGAGGTTCTAATGGGGTACGCTGGAGAAAGACAGCCGGGAGTTCGTCAACGCCTGTCCTGTCTGCAACCAGCACAAACCATCTCATCAGGCAACTGGCCTCTTGCAACCTCTGTCTGTGCCCCATCAGCCTTGGTCTCACATCTCTTTGGACTTTCTTTACTGGTCTCCCACTGTCCAACAAACATACCGCAATCCTGACACTGGTAGATCGTTCAGCAAGATGGCTCACTTTGTGACCCTGCCGAAGCTCCCCTCGGCCAAGGAGACTGCTGAGCTGGTCCTACTGCACGTCTTCCAGCTTCACGGTCTCCTCAGACGTGGTCTCAGTTTACGTTGGTAATCTAGAGGGAGTTCTGCACACTCATCGGGGCCACAGCCATCCTGTCGTCTGGATTCTACCCACAGTTTAACGGCCAGACTGAGCACAAGAACCAGGAGATGGAATCAAGTCTAAGGTGTTTGGTCTCCGGGCATCCAGCGTCCTGATCCCAGCAGCTCTTGTGGGTGGAGTACTGGTTCCGGCTATCCAGCCCCCGCCGCCACCGCGTTTCATTGATGGAGGCCTTACCTACACGGTTCAACGCCTACTCGGTTCCCGGGGGTGTGGGAGAGGGTTACAATACCTGGTCGACTGGGAGGACTACGGTCCAGAGGCAAGGTCCTGGGTCCCGGCTCACCACATTCTGGATGCCCTTCTCATCAGGGAGTGTCACTCCCTGCGCCCACAGTGGCTACCCAGCCAAACTCAGTGGCTTCGGACGTGGAAGAGGAGGAGCAAACTTCTGATCAGGACAACTCACCCACCGCGAAGGAGAGGATGGAGATGTCGGATGAGTATTAGCCCCATGGACTGTTTCTGCTGTGCCAGATTTTCTTCCGCTTCCATGCCAGACTCTCCAGTGCTAATTTTCAGACAGATCTGATCTGACCCTGCCTACCCCTGTTTAACCCGCTAGCCAAACTACCGGTGAACCTACCAGCCCTTGTACCGTTATTCTGCCTGCTGTTCCGGAGTTTAGAATAAAAGGGCAAAGATCCCCGGAGTCGTGTGAAGTGCATTTGGGTCCACACAAACAAAAAGGGTAGGCAGTTTAAGAAGAAAAAAGCAAAACCCAGGAATTTAACCCAGGAGGAAGATCAACATTGACTTATTTGAACTTGTGTGAAATACTCACAATTCATATGTTAAGTAAAACAAATAGGTAAGATTTGTTTTATGTCCAGCTTTAAAGAAGAAGAAGAAGGTTACTTATTCCAACTAACATGCAAACGTTTGTAACAAATGTAGTTATTTTAATACAAACCATTATAGTTTCCAAAATTCACAACCAAATTGAAAATACTATGCTGAGTACTAGGGTACTCAGGTTAAAAATGGCACCAAGGGCTGCAGGCCAAGCATCCGTAAATGACGAGTTTGGAGGAAAACATGTTAATGGATCCATTGTTGGCATAAAATATATTCGTTAATGCACTTTTTATGTAGGCTCAGTAAACTGCAGGTAAGGAGGCAGACATTACCTTATTGCAATGAGATCAGCCCATAGCCTTATGAATGCCATCTGAGGGCCAAAGGCTTCCAGTATGTATGTGTAGTGTCCACCAGACTTCTTAATGCAAGTCCCCAGCTCAGCATAGGAAAGGGCTCCTGAAGTGACAGGGGGAATGATTAATTCTAGCTCTGAAGAAAGAAGGTGGACACAACAGTCCCAGGGTTTTTGGGCTGTCAGCCAAATCTACAGAAAAGTCCACCCCTGGCCCCCATGATCACCCAGATACGAGAGCCTTTTGAGCTCTTAACCCATTTCTTAAGTTATGGGTTCTAAAGAAATGTTTGGGGAATATAAATTAATGGAAAGAGGTGAAGCAAGTATATCCAGGGAAAATGAGCTTGGACCTTTCATTAATGTGCAATAACAGCAAGATTTAAGGATAGGGAAACAATATATAATACAGAGGTGCACAGCAGTACTTCAGATTGGTCTAATGCAGCACATTTAAAACTTAAATCCTCATATTACATTATTCTAAAATGGTATCCCAATTATAATATGGTGACAAACCTAAAAATATTTATATCGGAGAACAAGGTTCAATGTTTAATGATTTCATTAGTTGTTATTTAATAATCATCTTTTAGACACTTTCAACTCACAGTAGCGCTGAACCTGTACAACTGATTTGCATTTTAATGTGCATGAGGAGCTCCTGCATTGGGCTGGCAGTTGGAATTCTAACAGAACTCATCTCTAATAACGTTATTTAAGTACCCAATTTACATGTTGTTTCAATAATAAAAATGGAATTCTGTTTATTATTTTTCTTGTCAGGAATTTTATTGGTGTAAAGACAATAAATCAATTTTTTAAGTTTTACCTCCATCAGTAAGTTTCGTATTCAATGTTTAAAGACATCTTTTACATCTCTTGTACCACCTGTGACAACTCACCGAAGAGGGACAGCACACCGCAAGCAATCCACACGACGAGGGACATTCCTATGCTGCCTGAGTGCTTCAGGATGCCCTTTGGAGAGATGAAGATTCCAGCTCCGATGATAGTTCCGATGATGATGGAGATGCCTCGGAGCAGAGTGACCTTCTTCCCCAATTCCACCTTTCTGTCCTCAAACGGTTTTGTCCCGCCAGGTTCTATCAGGGGAACCTTTTGGGAAGCTCTCTGTACACTTGCAACTCCATCTTGTTTAGGAGATGTAGACCTTTTGGTCATTTTCTAAACACTCTACTAATACGTTGTCCTAACACACCACACAAAGTATAGAGAATGGAGTCAAAGTGTATTTCACCTGGGCTCTGTCTGTGTGACTGCTTCAGGCAAAGAAAAAAATCTCTCTGTCTCGCTCTCTCGCTCTCTCTATGTGTGTGTGTGTGTGTGTGTGTGTGTGTTTCGGAGCCTTGTTCTTCTTCCACCCACTTTCTGACTTAACTGTTTCGCTTTTTGCCTCATTCTCAAAATCTTTTCCGTATTGTATTTGTTTTAATCCGTTCCTGCCTTTGTGTTTCTGTCAAGTCTCTCAATAAAACCGTTGGTTCAAGGTAATCATGAAATACCGTGTTTCATTCATAATGACTGATTTCTAAGTAAGCGTATCTCCTTCTTTGTATTTCCAGTCTCTTTTATTTGTTCCATTCAAAATTATTTAAGGTCCAGCTCTGTTTTGAGGCTTAACAAAAGCTGTAAAATGTTCCGTCCTGAAAAGACTTTCTTGCATGGCAACCAGTAGAAACAAGTTTGTATGAGACAGCAGCCACTTAACAAGGTTACTCACACATACTCTGCATTGGGTTGGGGTGTGGTGCAATATGTTAGAAACAACAGATCCTTGGCCTCCAAACTGGATTTACTTTACTTGCATTGTCACTCAAACAAATTGAATACTGTCTCTGTCTCTCGCTCTCTCTTTGACCTTCTGAAGAAGGTGGGGGGGGCATTGTCCTTTCTAACATCTTGCAAATGTGAGTGCCTCTTATAAATTATTTTTGTAGCTGTATGAGTCTGTTGTTGTCTGTACACATTTTTGGGTGGCAAGTGAGTTTCCCCACTGGGCATTAATAAAAAATAATCAAAATCTGGTGATATAGTTACATAGATGTGTGTGTCATCTGCATAACTATGATAACACATTGTTTTCCATAATCTGAGCTAATGGAAGCATGTCAGTGCTACATCCTCCTGGCAGACAGATCAGTTGACAACTCCGGTAACACCAGAGGTGGCGGACTGTATCTACGCAAACAGCACCTGGTCCACGGACACTGCTATCGTCGAGAGTCACTGCTGTGACTACTGCTTTTTATCTGCCCAGAGTGTGCTGTTGTGACTGCAGCCCATATACCTCTGGACGCTAATGCTAAGCTTGCCGTGAAAGAACTGAATGCTGACATTAGCAAACAACAGACAACATCTGGAGGCTGCCTTAATTGTTGCGCGTGACTTCAACCACTGAAACCTCACGAGAAGATAAGACTTTAGATCACGTCTACGCTTGCAAAGCTGCCCCCCTCCCCCAACTAGAACAGTCTGACCACATCTCATTGTTCCTTCTCTCCAAATACACACCTCTCATCAGACGTGGGAAACCCACTGTGAGAACAGTTAAAGTGTGGCCAGAGGGAGCAGACTCGACTACAGCTTTGGAGTGGGTTTGCCACCGAGGCCACACTGGACTTCAACACATCATCGCCTTTGCCTCTGTTTTGAACTATATCAACACCAATATCGACAGTGTCATCACTCTCAAACAAATTACCACATTCCCCACTCAGAAGTTGTGGATGAATAGAGAGGTTAGCCTACTACTGAAGGCACTTGACACTGCTTTCAGATCAGGCATCAGGGGATGCTCAGGCCTACAGTTGATACCGAGCTGACCTGAAAAGGGGCATCAAAAAGGCCAAGCATAGCCACAAACATCGGATCGAGGAGCACTTCAAAAGCGGCTCAGACCCCCAACCCCCCAAAACAGTCCAAGGCAGCGAGCCATAATTACTTCCGCCCTGTTGCGCTCACCCCCACCGCCATGAAGTGCTTCGAGAGACTGGTCCTGCTCACCTCAAATCCTGTTTGCCACCCACACTGGACCCCCTACAGTTTGCCTACCGCAAGAATAGGAGTATGGAGGATGCCATCTCCATGGGCATCATTTCCCCAACTTAAGGGATCTGGGCGTCAACACCTCCCTCATTAACTGAAAACTGGTCTTCCTAACCATCAGACACCGAGAAGACGAAGGAGCTCATTGTGGACTTCAGGAAAACCCAAGGTGACCCCCCCATATCAACGGGACGGACCCTTCTTGGACACTCAGCCCTGGTCAAGAAGGCTCACCAGCGCCTCTTTTGCCTGAGGAGACTGAAGTAGGCTTATCTGTCCCCTCCGATCCTGGAGAACTTGACTTAATGGGTTTACTGAACTGCTTTCTATAATCTGTTGTAATTATTGGCAATTTTAAATAGCCATGTTGATAATCTCTAGGACACAGGGTCTATAGAACTGTGTGCAGTTGTGCCGAGATCAAAAAGTGTCAGGGGCAGGTTCATTATTCAGAACCGCATGGACCTGCCTCCTCATATGCCCATATGCGATGGAATAGAATTTAACGCAAAACCTCGTTTGAAAGCAGCACAGCGTCTCCTTCCACACATATCCAAACCAAGGTTGTGACAAAGCATTACATCGCTGAAAAAGAAACAGGGAACTAGTTCTCCTCCATACCAGCCCTCTCTAGCATGAGCTAGTGCTAAGCAAAGATCTCCTTGGAGGAAGGCTACGCTAGTCAGAATATAGAAAAGTCAATGTTAAACAGGTGTTGGCAAAAAACAAATCTCCAGTCCTCAGACATCTTAACCTAAAACCGTAACAACACACATGCATTATTTGCTACTGTTGACAGCTTAACAAAGCCTCCTGCACTGCGACTGGTATTCTTTTAGCTTGTTTATTTGTTACTTGTGTTTTAAAAAAAAAAATTCTTTACCCTTATGATTGGAGGCTCTAAATGGTTTTATTTAAAGCGCTTTTAATCACCTTTAATGCGCTATAAAATTAGAAATGCTTTGCCTTGTCTTGCAGAAAATTGGTCAAAATTGATTCAAATGGAGCTAAACTTCCATTTCAATTGTAGCTAGATCCTAACCAACACATTATCAGCTGTGAAAAACTACACGGTACGTTCCCAGCAGAGTGTAGTTTGTCTGTCTATTCCCGGGTGACGAAGCCTATACTTATTCCTAACTAACATGCTGTTTAGTATGTAACCTTCTGTCAGGTTATACTATAGATTGCTGTGCAGCAAGTCCATACATGATCAACACCCTCCCACAAGACAGTTGCTGCAGAGGTGTAGGTTAAGGACCAAGACTACATTTTGTCAAAATTAGTCTCATGTTTAGAAATGCGGTGGGTTGAATCCAAACAGCAGCATCAATCAAACTCTGGCCTGTGTAATTAAAGATACGGAATAAGAGCTATGGGGACATCCACTGCTGTCAATTATAAAATACTAGAGTATTTGCCTGACATGACTTGGAAACAGATTCAAAAGATGTGTTTCTCATTGTTTGATTTAGTGTTGGACTTAGCTATAATTCTTTCACTTTTGTGAAAGTTTGCTAATAGATAAATCTAATGGAAATACACTGGCAAAAAAAGGAGACCATCAACAAAAATCAAAAATTTAAGTTTCACGTCAAATTGTACTTGAAGCAGCATTAATTAATGCTTTGGGCAATTTGGTTGGAGAGTAACAAGCTGTAACCCCGGCATTGACATGTTATCCCCACATGAAGTTAGTATTTAAGCTAAGAGTATTTATTGTCCACATGCAACACACTTAACTAAATTAAGTTTTAGCCCATTTCCTACACAAGACAAACATGGGACACATTTGACCATTTAAACTTTAACTATGCTTGAGCACCTGAGACATTTGTGTCTTTGGCCGCTGAATGCCCCCTGTCCACCAGCTGGTCTCTAACCTTATCTGTGTTCTTTGGGGTCCTGTAGGGAAGGCTTAAGGGTTTGATTTTTTAGTTTCTTCAGGGCTGTCTGCTGGGGCAAACCAGCTTGAGAGGTGAAATTACTTGCAACATCAAAGTTGTAGGGTGTAAAATAAAAAGCTCCTGTATGGTCTTCCTTCACATGATGGATGGCAATTATCAGCAGGCGGCCTGTCTGGGAATGCAACACCTCAGGGCAGGCGTGGCAACCATTGTATAAGGTGTAAATGTATGCCATTATCAGCAAGAAAGGATAGATTTGCATGCATAGGTGGGAATAGTGACCTGCCGCCTGCTAGTGTGACTGGACGGAAGGTGATGAAAAGGTCATAACATAGACATGCCACCACAGCAGATCTTTGCGCATACGTGGGGATTTACTATTTTATGCAAACAAATCTAGCGAGTTATTAAGATCATCAGTGTGAACGCAGGAAATCTAAACAATCTAGATTGTAATTCACTCCGTGCTAAACAGTCAGCAGTGTTTTATAGCAGCAGCCATAGGAAACAAATGTCAATAGAACAGTTCAATTCGGAGGGACTTGTTGAAATTTGAAAAAATGCTTTATTAGAAACAGGCTTTCATATTTATAGTGCAATGTTGTTTGGGGCTTGGACTCAACCTGCGTAGGATAGACCAGGGGCCCGGATGCCGAGCCATGATGAGGCATATCACGCCTATTGGGAGTCCAGACAACGGTGGTGGTGGTGGTGGTAGATAATTAATTGCTCCAATCTCCTGATATGCCAGGATCTACTGTAGATTGGAGGTGTCAGCAGTGGTGGCGGGTTTCCTTTGGTGTGTGCTGAAATGACAACTGACAGCAACAGAGAGGAGAACAGTTTTTAATGTTTGCTAGCACCGATGCAATTGGTTTACAGTAACGGCACCCACGTCTGGTTGGCTAGTACTACCTGAGGCGACGGGAGACGCATCTTAGATACTCCAAACCAGCTGCTGCCCTTCACAAATTGCATAACAGTTGATGTTTGTAAACCAGACAAACACCTTTTAAAGTCCCTTTTAATCCTGGAGGAGTGCTAAAACCTAAATAAAACCAGGCCATATACTATTAATCATACATTTAATCAATATCATAATTAATTTGATGAGATTGTTTCTGTGAGGCGTCAGGACTTCGACTCAGGTGCAGAGCAATAAGGCAACGCAAAACTTCTTTCCAGGTTCGGAACCTTTTACTTGCAGAAAAAAGTAACGTGAAACAAAAAGGTAGCACAGGCCCAGGCGGACTTCACACGCTCTGGTAGAAATACAAAACAGGAAAAGGGCCTGGCAAAGAAGTAACACAACAACCACAAACATAACCATATAACCACAAAC